TCCACTGACATGAATTAGGGACAACCGTTTAACAACCTAATAGCCATCACCTCTTAAAAGTACAAAATATTAGTTGCTCATTCACAGATTCTTATGCAGAGAAATTGAAAGTGGCCCGTTGAATTGATGTTTCACAGGTGAGCTCATTGTTGGCACGAGAAGATGAAAATTTCTCTGTGTGGGAGATCGAAACAAACACAGACGAGAATGGACTAGAAGAACCACCCGAGGGGGGTGGGAATGGACCTTGTGCACCGGATCCTTGTGACCCAAAACAGGCTGATCAAGCCTATATCGAAACACTTGAATCAATCAAGTTTGAAGCAGCCGAGCTGGTGGTAAGAGCAGTACACGACTGATACATTTGATGATAATTTTGGAGTATTTTATTCACTAAGCGTATAATATCTGAGTTATGTAGACCAGACCTCTTTTTTTTCTCTCTTTTTTTGTTGTTGTCGTAGATGGTTTTATTGGGTAGACTATGATAAAAGGGTTTTTCTTTTCTCGTTTCAGGATTGTCATGCCTTCCGGTCCTGTGCTAGTCAGCCCATGTGTCCCAGGTAGATTTTTGTAAACCTTTTCTTAATCATGTGCAAGACATTTAGCTTACTTTGTTTTGACCGCTTGTTTTTGTTAGGTCTGGTAAAGTGCGGGCTCTTATGCGTGAAGCAACTCAACTGAAAAACAACTTGCCGATCCATCCAAATTCTTCTATACTTGTCAGGCAGGTTAGAACGATTCCGCTTTTTTTCATCACTTACTGTGATGATGTTAGTCCTGTAAAGTTTCTTCTCGCCGCCGTGTACAACGTGAGGAGAAGCCTTGTTTTCTTGGGCGGGAACATATATTCAACCTAATTTAATAGGAAGAGAGCAGGCTTCAATTTTTTTTTGAGGAAACCGCTAAGTTCATATTGCTTCACAGTTTAACACAAGATACCGCCTACCTCGGACAAATCCTACATTAACACCCTTTTAATAGTTAACGACGAGGTCTTTGCAACCAGATTAACTCTTCCCCTGGGAAACTCCTCAAAAAAGGCCTCTTCACTTTCAATATGGCGCCCCATTTAAAGGTGCCTTTGGCCCTTAAGCCCATCATGGATAACAAGTCTTTCCGGTGAGAATGAGCGCTTTTGGCGTAGGAAGAGCGCTTGTATCCCATTGCAGGGGCCTGGGTTTGATTCCCCAGACCTGGCTTCGCCTAGATTGAGGTTTTTTTTCCGTTCTGGTTCTCCTCCCTGGGGTTTTCTCTGGGCTAGCTGGTTTTCCTACTTAGACCAGAAAAAAAAAAAAAACACTTGAATTTCCAACTCAACCTGGAAAAGAGTAAACGAAAAGCCTCCTCTGTGATGTACTACTCCTGCGATCCAATTTATTTTGATTTGATTTACAGTAAGTGTTCAGAAACCTGGAAACTAGCGATTTAAGAATTGTAGATAATGGATAATACTTTTTTCTTTATTTCCCGCGCAGGATGAGAACCGTATGGATTTTGTCCGTGCTCTTATCACCGGCACGGTAGATACGCCTTACAGTCGAGGCTGCTTTGTGTTCGATATCTACTTTCCGTCTTCATATCCAGTTGACCCACCTTTGGTGAAAATCATCACAACTGGTAATGGTACAGTCAGGTGAGGTAGTAAGGTTTTTGATATTTATTGTTTGATTTTTGTAAATTATAGAGCGGTTTGTAAAGAATTGCACTCATTCTTCTAAGCTTGTAACTCTCCACTTCTGAATTATGATTCTTGTCTCTTTCTAGGTATTGTAAGTTATTGAATACAAGTTTTTTTTTCACTGCAGGTTTAACCCGAATCTCTACGCAGATGGAAAGGTAATTTCAAGCTGTACTTTGCCAATATTGTTCCATTTGATGCTTTTCACGCTGATTTCCTGATTTGTCTTGTTTCATTCTTCATTGTTGTTCACATCTTTAGGTTTGTTTAAGTTTGTTGGGAACTTGGCATGGTGGAGATGCAAGTGAGAAGTGGGATCCAAAGAAGTCTTCTCTCTACCAGGTAATTTAGTGTTAACAACTGGGTTGAAAACGTAAATTAGCCACCGTAAAGGGTAAAAAAGCTGACGTTTCGAGCGTTAGCCCTTCGTCAGAGCGATTCACAGTTTCTTTAGAAACTTACCCCTTCTCTCTACCAGGTTTGGTTTTCGTTGAGTTTATATTTATTGTTGTTGTTGATGCTGATTTTACGTACGAAGTTCCCTAGTCCTGTCCCTGATCTGTTGAAAGCGCCTCTGAGGGGATGCAGTTTTAGGTTTTGATACATTACTGGGCTAAGTCATGCGTATTTGATTGTTGTTTCTCATGATCAGTCGGTTCCTTCAGTTGAACGCTTCAGTTCAATATACAATCATTCCATTTTACCTTAAGCACGGAACACAACACAAAGAACTGGTTTGGGCTCGAACCCAAACTTTTTGGTCTGGGATTCGACGTATTAACCACCAAGGTAGTGCGGGAATGTACAGGAACGTTTTTGTTCTAAACCGTTATCCTGAGGTTAAACTAATGCTTAAAGAAAAATTGACCTTGAGAACGGATTGTAGAGGAAAGTTTACTACTGCGGGTCAATATTTCTTGGCGTTCCATGACGAGTCGGGGAAACAAGTATTATGGTGATCAAGGGAAAGTCGGGATTGAAATTGTGACCCTCTGGTGAGCGCCTGAAATATATGTCACTACTATTTTCGATCTCGGGAATGAAAAGTGTTGTACAAAATTTGGTCCACGTTCTCAATCTTCTGTTTCGGACTCCGAACATTAGTAAATGAGGACTTTGTAAATGTCAGGTAAATTGACGCTAGTTAGAGAGGTAACCATAACGCCTTCATCATTTATTAGCCAAGACCACTGGTTCCGCTCCATCTTCGAAACTAGAGCTCTGTCTTAAAATTGAGTTTTTTTACTTTTTTTCTGTTATCGTAGAGACAAAGTTATGCTTTGAACTGTATTTCTCTTTTTGGTGCTTTGCCAGGTTTTGTTGTCAATTCAAGGCATGATGTTTACTCCTGATCCGTGTTTTAATGAACCTGGTTACGAAGGCATCAAAGGAACCGACGAGGGAGACGTAAGTGAAATTCTTAACGGTTCTCTGTTTGACCAATGGACGTGTTTTTTGTTGACGCTGAAATTGAAAAGCAAAGTCAGTAACGAAACCACAATTTTCAAGTTTGCTGCGTAAAATTTGCGTCAACTTTTTACTCTATGATTCTTTCCTTGCTGTTACTGTTCATTACCCACACTGGTCCATGATGACGATGAATAGGAATAAGCCGATGTTGTCATTCCAATCTAAGAATATGTGACTATAATTTACACGCTCTTTCCGATAAGGGATATGTATCCTGTAAAGGTTGTTTTGCATCTGCGAATTGCCTATCTGCGCTGTGTTACCTGGAGATTGCGATGGTGGCTGAAAAAAAAAGGGTGGCAGAGAGCAGATGACTTCCGCTTAGGTTGTCGAAACCACTCACCCAGATGATTATGCTACACTATCCCATGTTACCCCCGGGTTCAAACCATTCATTGTATTATAATCGAGTCGCTTCGATTCCATTTATTATCTTGTGTTAACTGTGAGGTTTGAGAGACGCTATAGCTGGGTATTTCACGCCCTGAACTCTAGACGAAGAGTTCTGCATGCGAGCCGAAGCTAGTTCACTGTGTTGGGAAAGCTTATTTACCGTTACTTTCTGTCTCCCCAACCCCGGCTTTAGTAAGGAGTGAGATAGTAGGTAAGCAAATGAAATGATTGCGTGTCACCTGCGATGCACAGGTATCCCATCCAAGAGGTTTAGCAATACTGTGACCTTAGTGGGTCATTAACTTTTAAGACATAACTGTAACCTTGCGTGACTTTGATTTCACTTGTCTCTCTCTCCCCAGGCTCTGTGCAAAGAGTACAATGCAAAAATCAAACTTCACACAATACGTCACGCCATGGTTGGGCAGCTACGTGAACCAGCACCTGGTTAGTTAGATTATTATAACTTACCACGCTCTTTTGGAAACACAGCTACTGTGACTCTGCTTGTTATTATTCTAACGAATTTAAGACTCCACTTGGTTCTTATTGGTCATATGCAGAAGGAACAGTCAATAATTACAAAAATAAATGCGTGATGTTTTGATTTAGTTCGTAGCTACTTGTATTTTGACGATGAGGTGCAGTTTCACTAATGATTTGGCAATGACGCAAGTAATGTTTGTTATTTTGTGCGCGAACCCACCACACCATAACACCAGTATGCATATTCTACATTTTGTTCTCTGTACATTTTCTAAGGTGCTGAAAAGGAGAATTAGTGTAATGATCAGGAGCTTCTTTACTTGGTGATCATTTCCTTGATTCTTGTGACCTTCATGTTTGATATAGGGGTGATATTGTAAGGAGAAAATAAAATCGAATCACTGTAGGGTCAAAGGTTTGATCGGTTACAAAACTGTATTTTCCCTCCCCCTAGGGTTCGAAGAAGCCATTCGTACTCACTTCCGTCTTCAGAAAGAGGCTGTTTTGAGGCAGTGTGCTGATTGGCTCACGCAATGTGCTGATGCTGAGGAAGAAAGACGCATGCGCAAGGCCGTGGATACGTTAAAAAGCGAACTCGATAAGCTGTAGAGAAGAGGAGAGGGGAAGAAAAGTGAATTCAAATGCTGACCGTGTGAATCTCTCGGCTTCGCAAGATACATAAAACCACGTTTGGTTTAGTTCTTTTTCGGAAAGGAGAACGAACGCGTAACACCTCACAAGTTACCTACTTTTCCAGTGCAGCATATTTTAGTTTTAAATTGTGACTTCCATGCAATTTATTTATTGTAATGTCTGATGTCAAGCGCGGCTAAGGTCGGGTATCCATCTCATTCCCACAAAGAGAGAGAAAGGGTGGAATAATATCCCTTTTTGCTTAAATTATTTGAAACCAGGAACAAGAATCTGTATTGTCTTTCTGCTTTGTTTGCCTTTAGCTTTGACCGAGGTGTGACCACATTGTTGTGGCGAGTGATGAAAAATATTTCACTCTAAAAGCGTAGTTAAAATGAGATTGTATTTTAAGGGTAAAAGGTTATATTCATAATAGAAATTGAATAATTAGCAATAAAATACTTTTAGCGGGAATAAATTGTTTTCTTGTTTCACTGTAAATACTGAGAGGGACGTGTAACAGTCGTCTTAAGATTGTGAGGAGGAGACGTGAAAGGTAACGAGAGATTCTTCAGTGTAAAGCCGCAGACATTGACTGAAGCTTATAGCAACCGTGAGAAATACCTCTACGGTGGTATTATGTTTGCAGAAATCATTGTGAAAAGGTCGCTTGTATTTTCGCTCGTATTTTCATTTGGTTTTGAGTGGGGTTGAATTTTTTTCTGTTTTGTTTGATTTTAACAGATATTTGTTCTGAAAATCGTTTGTTCTCCAAAAAACCCTCTCAGCCATGGCACAATTATCAAACCTAACAAAAATTTACTGCTCTCCTTTCAAGTGTTTTGTACACTGTCTGCAAGCCAAGAAAATAAAATACCAACCTGGAGCAGTGTATCCTTAATCTTAATACTCGCCTAATCTTCCTAGTACTGTCATGCTTTGGAAACTTTCAAAAGAAGTCGGGTGATATCTTCAAAAACTGCCGAAATGCTACATACATATTTTTGGCTCAGAAGCATACCTTGACTCAATCCTAGTTCTTGACAAGAAGGTTGATCCCATAGAGACGCCTTTACTGTACTCAAGCAGAAATTTCAGAGTTCAGTTCGCAGTTACTCATTTTGACTCCTCTACACTGAAATCTTCAAATATTATTTCGTAAGTCCGTTGATTTGACAGAAAACCGGTAATCTGCGGGTAAGAAAAATTCATAAGATTTTCACGAATGTGACTCTTGTCCATCTTAGGCGAAGACAACTCACGCTTCACGCACACATTAATTCACGAATCACGTTCCTCTTATGGTTATTTTCACGCGTCACGTACTAATTTGTTTCCCTAATCATTCATCACACACACCTTCTCAAATATCGTCCATTAAAACCAAGACCGTGTCCTGGCAGCCAATATTATTCAGGCTTTTATTCGTTCGAGCTGTCAATTTTGAACAATTCCAATTCAAAGCTTAACAAATTCTACTTACTTTCGATTTATCTGAAACTTTTTTCGTATCTTTCAGAAGCATTATCACTGTTCGAAATGTTCTCGTCCTTTCTAAGAGGTGACCTTTCGGATAACGAAGTTGATTTTCTCGCCTCAGAAGGCCGAGACTATTTTCTCACCCGCGGAATGATTTACAAAAACAAGAGTGGAAATTTAGAGCACAGACCCTTTACTGTCCTTCCCACTCCATTTCCAAGAAGACTTTTCGCAGCTGCCAGAGAGGTTCAAAAGGATTTTAATTTGCTGGTGCACAAGGCAAGCCAGGATTTCCAGTTCACGAAAGACGCACTTCTGAGGTACACTTTCATCTTTACTTTAATTTCCCTACTTATCATTCCGAATCGCTGGTTTGTGACAGTGAATCTCTCAAACTCGTGGATTTTCTCTTAATCTTCTGTACTTATCTTTTAGTACCATAACTGCGGATGTATTCACAGCAAAAATATTTGCCATTTACGAGAAAACTCAAGAGCAAGGCATAGATCAGGTGTGTACACAACTTGGCTGTTAGGGAGGTCTGTGGATGCATGTCTTATACATATTAATTATTGAGCGAAAGATTGTCATTGATTCTACTATAAATCAACCCTTTCTTTCTTTAAGGATCTATGGAAAAAAAATTGATCGATTGATACCCTCTTTTCGTAAATTATTTAATTACTCTTTTAACATAAAAGGAACATAAACAATTATTTTTCGAATCGTTAGGTAAATTACAATAAACGTTTTATTTTTCTCAGCCCATTTCGTTGGGAATCTTCCGATCGGACTACATGCTTGAACAAACAAGCGGGTCGCACAACCAAGAAGACGAAAACTTAAACCTTTGTATCAAACAAGTTGAACTAAACACTATTTCCATAAGTGCCATATCTTCATCATGTCGTGCTTCCAGCCTTCACAGGTATGATGCATCCTATTATTTTATCCAAATTTTTACTTGGGACGCACTGATGCAATTACTTATGCCTGTGGCGATTTTGCGCTCTTTGGAAAGACGCTTTACGCAAAGGCAATGTATTGTTTACGTCCGTAAATGTTAGAAAGCTGCGCGAAAATCTGTCCCTTGATTAGACTTAGATAAACAATGAAGGGGATAAAGAGAAAAAAAAAAAAAGGGTTTAATTTACGCAACATTTCGATGTCTTCGCGTTATGAGAAAATTTTCAAGTGATGAAATAAATGAAAAGAATATTTAATCTCCTTACAAACATATTCAGCGTGTAAAACTAGAATTAACATTTTAAATTGTTCATCTTTGTAGTTACTGATAACAATTTGAAAAATTGACCAACACTGTTTCCTAGCGATAAAAGCACATTTTTACCCATGGCACCGAAACAATAAGTGACCTTACCAGTAACTCAGTAACCGTCCTCAATGAGAAATTGAATTGTTTAAGCCATCCTACGATATGTCATTCACATGAAAGAAAAATCCAGGCCCAATCACGCAATCAAAATCTATCGTGCAAGATATAAGTTCGTCCGTAGGGTGAAAATCAGGTTGCTAGAGACTGCAATACGCATTTTTTTATAACTTGTCAACTCCGGTGCTTGTCAGTTCTGCGCTCTTAGCTATCTTACATTTCCTCGTAAATTAATTACAAGAATTTGGTATTAGATCAAATTAACAAACTCTGCTTGATAATTCTAAGTATTCTCATTACCTGTTTGCTGGATAAAGTATGGATATTATAAGGAGAAGTTACTTGTTAATCACTTGTGGGAATAAAAAGGTTAAGGAAATATGACATTGAAACTGGAAGACATAAGCAAACCTAAAATCGTAGATTTTCTCTCTGTGAAAATTGATTTTTTTGGAAGAATCTACATTATTTTGTTTGTTAACAGCAACACTTACACTGCAAATAATTCTTCAAAAATATCTTGTTTTCTACCATTTTTGATTTAGATCATGGAAATATTTTAAACTGTGTACAACTTCTAAATACTAAGAGCCAATATATATATATATATATATATATATATATATATATATGTTTGAATTATTTTCGCTTACCCCAATGATTCATTTACGTGATTCCAGACATCTGTTGAATCTTATTGGAAAAGAGGAGAAGGTATAGTAACTATCATTTACTTTTGATATTGGGCTTGTGTTAACTTCCAAAACCGTTTTTTTTTTCCGAAGCCATATGAAAAAAAAAGATCATATTTACAGAGCTTGGACTAGAATCCTTCAATTGATGTTATTGTCGTTTTCTTTTTCAAGGGTGCTCTAGCCCTTTTTGCTAACTAGTTGTCTTTCTCCTTGCATGCTTCTTTGTAGTCACCGCCTCCAAACTTTGCACTCGATGAAGTAGCTGAGGGACTCATTAAGGCCTGGGAACTATACGAGTCACCGAGGTATAACCGATACACTTAACTAATATTTAGACCAATGATTTTCTAGTTTTCATTCGGCCAGCAGCTTCGATCACATTTCAAATACGTGTATCAGTCACATTATTTGGCAAAGAATGAAGAAATTATCCCGCGCGGGGTGCAACTACATCTAAACAAGGTATATGATTAATAATCGGGCAAGGCATTGTGTTAGTATATCGATCAATGAAAAGTGTTCTATTCCAATCGTGTTGTTTTATTTTGTTGCCCAACTATTGTTGTTTTCCACTTCTAGCAACGTTTTGCTTTATATCTTTTCAGTGCAGTTATCATGTTTGTCGTTCGTCCCGACGAAGTAAATGTGTATGTCCAAAGGATTCTGGAATACAGCATCAGAGACAAGTAATGAATTTGCAGATAGAACGCTTTTCCACTTAGTGTCGTAAAACCAGAGCGAGAGTGATCACCACAGCTCATCAGAACAAACAACATCATTAAAAACAACCATAAATTCAATGCAAATTGAACGAAGCGAGCGAGAAAAATGCGAATAAGTCATGATCGATTTTAATTCATTGTCTAGTCGATAGTCGAGATCCAGCGCAAGTTTTCTAGACCCTAAAATGTAAAACCACAGGCAGTAAAACAAAAGCAATCAAATCTGTGATTACTTTTTCCCTCCAGCAGTGCGTTATCGAATGATTCAATTGATAAAGATATTGCGTGTATCTTCAACTGGTTAGCGGGCTGATGTGTGGATCTGAAGGTCCGGGTTTCAACGAGAAAAACTTGATTTCACTATTCAGGGGCGTGGGAGGAATTTTCCTGTTGGATAGGAAGGGGGGGGGGGGGGTATTATGAGCTATTTTAGGTAATGAATAAAAATAAAACTTCATCTTTATTCTTGCAGAAACCGCGCTGTAAAAGTGATCAGACGAACCTTGACCGAAATTTGTACTCGAAGCGAAATACAGGGCGACAAATCCCTCTTTGTGTAAGAAAGTTGGCATTACATTTATTATCTCCCAGTTTTCGTTTTCTGTTTAGTAACTCTTTGATCATACCTCTTAATTCACCAACTAAACGACTGAGAAGCTGATTCACTGCTTAACTCCCCATGTATTGAATGAATTTCTTTCTGACTTACTGACTGGGCGATAAAATATTTATGTACTCGCAATGATATACCTAATACTAATTGTTGTGGTAAAGTTCTCTGTTTCATAATTTTTAGGTGATAAAATGGAAAATTATTTTTTGGGTTAATTTCTTTTAGTTTATTCTTTCAAGTTATTGAGATAGTAATTCCAAGATCGTGCGCACAAATCTGCTTTTATAAATGACTACATATGTAGACGCCTGAACTCTTATTAGGTTCTTATTTACCTTTAACAGGGATGGACTTGAGGTCGCTGTAGCTTACTTTAGAGCAGGTTACACACCCGTTGACTACCCTAGTGAAGACGTAAGTGCCCTTGCTAACTCCTTTTTCAAAACTTGGATAAGAATTTTTCGAAAAATGTTTTCCCGAAGAATAAATTATGTGGAAACTAGCTCAGTGAAAACGTACTACCGCGAGAAAACTATACACCTGTATGAGATAAAACGCAGAGATTTTATAAAGGATAAGTGATAAATTTATTTGCCACGAATTCTAGAAGAGGAAAGGCTTATCTAAGTTTCTGATAGGCTCATGTATGTGTTCTTAGATGAAATACATGCTAATTTTCTGACTCAGGAATGGTCAGCTCGTCTGACAATCGAGCTGTCTCGTTGTATTAAATGCCCGACAGTGGCTCATCAGTTGATGGGAACCAAAAAGATGCAACAAGTATTTGCTGAACCTGGAGTTTTAGAAAGGTAACAAGCTCCGAAGAAATTAGGGCTCGAGATAAACAAGGCACAATCTTTAGGTTTTTTCTTGTAAAACTGGGTGGGTTGATTGGAATGGGGTGTTCAACCGTGATACCGTTATCCGGGTCAGCCCTCCCCGCCCTTTCATGGAGACACATTGTAGATATATAAGAAACCGAGCCAACCCCGATTGACTGAGCTCATATGAATACATTCCAAACCTTTATAGACCTTTACACCCTCAGATCAGAGTAGATATTTTCCTTACTGTGCTCTACACATTTCCTACGGTTCTGAAAAGGACTAGTTGTTTTACAATCCAGGGCCTCTTTTGTTGGCGATCATTTCCTTTATTCTCATAACCTTAACATTCGATTCAATGAACAAATTGTTAGGAGAAATTAGGTGCTGGTCACCTTTAAAGATTGTAGGGTTTATAATCTCCAGCGGTGTAGTATTTTTATGCAACTGAGTTCAATTAAGAAATTCATTTTTCATATTTTGAGTAGGTTTTTACCGAATAGAGAGGCAGTGGACAGAGTAAGAGCAACCTTTACTGGATTATACACTCTCGATCCGGTAAATGAATAACTGTACATAGTGTTAAGAACTTTACCCAGTGTGTGAAGGCAGAATTTTAATAACCAGACCTTGCTAAGGAATGACATACTTGTGTCTTACCCCTGAGAAGCTTATCTGTAGTGATCTGAGACAGTGTATAGAGTACATCTGTTGCTGCATGCGTCGACCCACGTCATGACTGTTCGTATCTGTAGGTTTGTATTTAAGATGCAGTTACAAGTCTCTTCAGTATGTAATGTGTTAAACGTCATTAAAGGATATATCTACTAAAATAACTGGCATGGGTATACTGTCTATGGAGAATTTTCAGATTGAATGTAAATTGTCAAAATCATGAAATATGCCAGTTTTTCGAACCTATTTCAGACAAAATAAAAAATGTTATTCTATATTTCTCAATTTCAGGGACCATCAGGAGATCGCAATGTCGAGTGTTGTCTCCAAGCCGTGGAAAGGTTTGTCATGAAACCTCAGAGGGAAGGAGGAGGTATGATAGGATTTACCTTTAATAGCCAAATGGAAAGAGATGAGAGAAATAACAACAACTTTGAGCTTCGCTGTTCTCTTTGAGAAGTGCAAAACTAGCTCTAGCAATCAAAAAGTAAAAAAACACTACTAATTTATTACGCTAATTTGTGTGGATACCTGCTCATCCCATGACTACAGGTAATCTCATCTATGGGGAAGATATCCGGCACACACTCCAAAGCAATCCTGAAAAGCGTTCTCAGTATATTTTGATGGACCGAATTCGACCTGCTTGCATCAACAGGAACTTTATCGTTCGTCAGGAGTCCATAAAACCTGCAGAAATTATCTCTGAACTGGGGATTTTTGGCATTTTTCTCAGGTAACCGGCGGTTTTTAATATAATTTGATTTTTCTGTGTTGCTGGAACCATTTTCAGTATTGGAGGACATGTAAGAAAACCCTTCGGATATCTTTAAAGTTGTTACCTGATTTTTCGACCTGACCCGATCGTTTTCACGATGAATAGGAATCTGACCTGATCAACACTTCCTATTTATACGCATTTAGCCTCATTCGATGAACAAAGATAAACTAAGATTGTTCACTGTTCAGAATTTTTTCCTTCACAAATTGCTGCACCGTTGTTTTCATATTTAACCCTCCCTGACTCTCCTTAAAACAAGTCAGTTTTTATGATTATGCCCAGTAAAATCTGTTGGATACTATAGAGGAGCTTCCCGATTGCTTTTCATAATCGATCACAGGGGCAAATCAGATCTAAGGTTAGCCTTTAACCCTTAAGAATGACCAGCCTCTAATTTCTCCTTACAATATCACCCCTTAATCAAACATTAAAGCCACGAGAATTAAGGAGATGATCATCAACTTATAAAGCTCTTGGTTTTTAGAAAAATTCTCCTTGTCAGTATGAAGAATATGCATACTGATGTTAGGATGTAAAGGGTTAACAAAGCAAGGAGCCAATGGAAACTTAAAGTAAACGCATGAATGCTTTAACCCTTTACCTTCCACGAGTGACCAACAGAGAATTTCTCCTTACAATATTACTACAATATCAAGCATAAAAGTTATGAGAATAAAGTAAAATAGCAACTGAGGGATTATTAGTTGATCCAATAGCAAATTCTCCAAATTTACATTATAATAACTGTATGTCCGACAGTAAAGAGAATTACTTATTAGATCTTGGGAGTTTAAGGATTAAGTGCGCGAAAACGTGAATAACTTCGAGCTATGGTTAGCAATAGTTTTGAATCTGATTGGTCAAGAAAGTGACACCAACCACTGGACCAATCATACAGTGTGGTGATGCAAAGTCAAGGCGATTGCTGTCGACGTTCGAATGAGAATTCTCTTGCATCTTGCCAATTAAAGCCTAACAAGCCTTTTTCTGCTGTTTTAGTCAGGGAGATGAGATACTGATCAACAAAGATGGAGGCTACCTTGTCCGCAGTAGGCCATGGGATAAGTTAGAAGTGATAAGTCTTCATGGAGAAGGCGCCTACTGCAGTCCATATTTGGTAGACTAGAATGCACTTCACTTAAAGAGTAGCAAGCGAATAGATTTTATGTTGCTGTGCGGCTGTGCTGTAGAAAAACACAGATAACGTCAAGATGTAATAAAAACGAAAGAATGGCACAGGAGGCACAGTCGAGTGTGTTACTGATGTTCTTGACGGTAGTTTTCTCTCGTCCTCACTAATTGTTCAAAAAAAGGCTGGTATGACCCCCTTTGTCGTACAATGATATACCTCTTGAATTTGTATTTGAAAGGTTGCGGAGAGGCTGGTGAAATTAAATTTGCCCTCGCCCTTCAGTGAGGAGAATTTCCAGAGGGCTGGTTAATCATTTGAGTGTGCGAGGCGAGAATAAAATCAAATATGTCCCTTTGAGCTGATTTTTGTCTTTAAAAAAGACTTTAAAAGGAAAGATCCCGAAAACTGCCATGAAATCTTCTTCTCTAAGCAAAAAGTCGTCGACAATTGACAGGGATGGCAGGGTTGGTAATGTTCAGCTTTTAGCGCTGGGTACTAATCCCTGGGGTTTTAGTGACGGGGTTTCAGCGCTAAATGATACATGTAAGGGGTTTCTTGATGAGAGAGGAATTGAATAACGAGCCAAAAGAAAGCCAGGAAGGAGGTATTCATAACGAGTTTGCAGCACGCACAATTTTCATTTCCATTTCCGGTTGTTATAAATGCAAGTTTTATGTTTTGTGTTTATGTGACCTTTGTGATATTCAGTCACGGTTAGTCGCAAGTTAACTTTACCTCCATGATATTTTTATTTGAACACACCAGGGCCTAGTTTTTAAAAGAGCGGATAACGCTATCCGAAGGATAAAACGCTATCCAGCGGACAAGAGTTAACAAAACATACTGTGCTATCCACCGTATAGAGATTTATCCCCGGACTAGTATAGTTTATGATTACCCAAGAACTCCTACATAGAGCCAGAATTTCACACCGCACACAAATATTAGCAACCTTCAACAACAGCGAAAGGGAGGAACGAGATGCAAATATTGTATGCAAATATTGTATGGAATATATGCATGGAATAAGTGCCCGACAGACTCTCCTTCCACAATTGAAGATTCGTATCTACAATCAACAAATCAGTCTATTTTGTCTAATCACAACATTGAACGTCTTTCCACGAGGGATAGGGGACTGTTTTCTTTTTCTTTCGAAGCTCAGATGGCAATACTATTTGGAATTCTCTCTGGCAAAAGATATGGGTACGGGACACGAAGTTTTGCGTTTCGCGCCTTAATTTCAGCGGATATGCCCTTCAGTTTCCTCTGAAATACTTCAATGGCGGCTTTGGCAGGTTCTTCGATGAATAGCTCCTCTGGGTAGTCACCAATGAATTTCTGTCAATTAGAACAAATGATAAGTGGTTTTGAAGTAGTACGAACTACGATCGAAAAAACAAACATGTACTTGATAACATCAACTCTGCACTGATGGTTTTTGCATGATTTGTTGATGAAGCACGCATGCGTATCGATTGCCTGCTTTTCGAAATGTGTTCCGTTAACACTAAGTTCACTTTAAATCCTAGAGGTGACCTTAACTGGTACAAGAATAAAGGGGGGTAAGTTTCTAAAGAAACTGCGGTGCTGCGTCGGTGGAGGAGTATAACAAGACAAATTGGTTTTATCAACTGAGTTGACAGTGTAAATTAGCCAGCGTAAGGAGTTTCTAAAGCTGACTTTTCAAGCATTAGCCCTTTGTCAGAGCGAATTGACGATCGTGAATTGCTGAGGCTCTGGAAACTCTTTATGGTGGCCAAGTCACATTATTAACTCAGTTGATAAAACCAAATTACCTTAACTGGTACAACTGAAGACAATCACGAATTGAGCACAGAAGTTATGCATTACGGTACCTCGTCTTTAAAAATACGGGTCAAGTCGTACACTGTGGCAATGGTGAGGGAAGATTGGTGCTTGGTAGCCAAGCATTTCATGAGGTCTGCTTGCCCCACAACTCCTTTCTTGGTCGGTGGTGGCTGACGCATGAGTGCTGGAGAATTTGGCGGGAAACCGTATACGTCCATCTGGGAGAAGTTAACTGCTGCGTGTTGGCAGGCGCAGGTGAAGATGATGGAAGTCAAGAATTCGTACAGCTGGACGCAACTGGTAAAAGATGGCGGAACACCATGGTTTGTATGGCCTGGTTTATTGGGATAGCCATTGTCATGCAGATCTTTGACCCAATTCTGAAGCTCGTAGTCCTTTAATAAAAGTAACACGATGAGTTTTATTTGGATGGATTACAAGACACAGATTGCGAAAGGAAGAATAAATAGCCAAAGTGACAAAACAATATCCCGAGTTGACGGGATAATAAATTATGAGTGTTTGATTATCGCTGATTAACACTCTTCCAAAAAAAAAAGTGGATTTCAACCTCAGTTCGAAAGGAGGCACGGAAAGGATAAGCTTAATCTACAGTCGTCCTTGATCAGGAGACCAACAAATGCAACTACTGTGCGCGGATTTAAATCATATTTAGCAATTTTGATTTCATAAACCTTTACTTTTATTAACTCTCTGATATGGTTTAAGTAAAATCGTTAAGTGCGCAGGCACAAAAACAATACATTGCTGACAACCTCTTATCTCCCAGAAGTGACTAACATGTAACCTCTCCCTATAATAACCATATACTATCCAACAAAAAGGTACTGGGAATATTCAACGTTATCAGGTAGAAGTTTTCATCTTGATCAAACATCAAATTCTCGTAACTAATTCACTAAGAAGTGTGCTCTTATCTCCCAGAAGTGACTAACATGTAACTTCTCCCTATAATATTCATATACTATCCAACAAAAAGGTACTGAGAATATTCAACGTTATCAGGTAGAAGTTTTCATCTTGATCAAACATCAAATTCTCCTAACTAATTCACAAAGAAATGTGTATGAGCAAGAGAGGAGAGTTTACAGTCAGATGTTGGGAGTTAAAGGGTAAAACTAACTCAACGTGACCGCGTTAGATTTGGTGTGGATTTTGCTGCAAGGAGATAGAGTGGCTTACTTTACCACTTCGTCGTAAAGACTTAGTAAAAGCTGTTTTTTTGACCTCCTTTGGTTCTTAGAATCTTGAGGAAACTGATTAACGTCTAAAAAAAGCCATCGAAAGCACTCTATATTTCTCCTTCTATGCTGCACAACGTGATGTAAGGTTGAGAGGAAGGACAACTCGAAAAGCTTCAGATTTTGTAAATTGGTCGGCTTTTTTGATCGTCATTTAACAACTTTTTTTAGTAATCATCCAACACCTTTTAGGATTATTAGACCGGTCTATCGTTCGATTAAGTATTTGACTCATTACCTTCTGCACTTCACCATCTGAGTGGTAATAGCCAGATAGAATCTCCTTGACGAAGTCTGCTATGGCTGCCCAGAGTTTTAAAGAATCTTCGCGGTAGTGGAAGTTGGGTAGTTTTTCGGGATCATCCACCCCTCTGTCTTTTAGCACTTGTGGCAGGATATACGAGGGCCAGGTACTGCTGCTCTTGTAGAATTTCTTCATTAGGGTGACATGCCCTGGCAAAAGCAATTAGACACATGTGTAAAGCGCGATGACTCAATCAAGCTCAAAGTAACATGGGAGAGTAGATAAGAAAATCGTCAAAATTCATAAAGGTGCCCTGCAACTGGATTTGTCAAAAAATGTGGTAAATATCCTTATTTTTTACATGTGTAAGGGAGCAATTTAAACCAGACACTTGGTAATTTGACCTCCCGGGAGACAGATTGACGCTATGAGTTATCGTTTTACCTCCTCCGCCAACAGTCAAAGTGTTATCAGCCACTCCTCCCTCCGCTATCAAGACATCTCTGCCAAGAGTGTTGATGGCCAGAACTCCTCGGATATGAGGGGCCAACAATTTCCAAACGGGGTGGATTGTGGGTAGCTGTCTATAGCTGGCAACGGCAATGGGTTCCATGAAGAGATGGGTGCGGAGAAGATGGGTGACCATCTAAATACAACAGACACAGATGACAGGAAAGTTTATTTTGTAAAAAAAGTGCATTTTTCAGGCATGGCTCTCGTGGTTCAGGGAACCTATCTTGCGTGTCCACGTATTATTTACCTTCTTTATTGCACCAAATTACGGAGTGTTTATTTTTCAAGTTCTTTACGGGTCGTCCCGGGAACTCAACGATCATAAGTCGAGCATGCACCAATGGATCACTTTACAGCCGGCTGCGCCAATCTCCTGCGCAAAAATTTCAGGGGAAATTATATTGATACACCTTAATAAATCGACAAAGCTGAAATGGTAAGCTTCTTCTCAAGCCTGTTCTCCATTTCCTCTGCGATCCACATGTGGATAATTATCTATGCCTCTCACTCTATTTGAGGAGACAATCCGTGATGCTGAAAACGAATTAGTTTGTTTTCACATAGCTTCTTCAGGGTAACGTCTCGCACGCAGGCAAGAATTCACGCTGTCTCAGTTAATTAGGCGGGTTTCAAAGTAGCGCACAAAATAAACAAAGTATTAAGGACAGTTTGAATTGACCATTACGGGAGGTGAACGAATGGAAATGATAAAAATAAGTTGATTTGAATCTCACGAAATCTCTATAGATTCTCCATGTTGATGCCGTCTCGTACCTGATGGAATTGAGTGTCAGAGTTACGCAGCCACAGCTTAGCACAGGTCCAGTCCATCTCGGAATCATTTGGGGTCCATATAGGGTTTTCATGGTGTGGTTCTTGATGGAACTGAACTGCTATCGGCACCAGGTCTCCGTTACCTTTCACATAAAACAGGCCTAGGCTTGCGCACATGTATCTCCTTTCTAGGTCCGGTCGGTTCTGCCCGTAGTGCGGGATGTCCTCCAAGATCTTATAATCCACCATGTAAATACGGCCATCCTATGTGATGACACCAAGAATCTTTTTCAATACTTACATGAGACAATGAAATGAGATATCCTCGTGAAATTCTTAATTATTTTGGGCATTAAAAAAGAGACCGCATAAACGTCAACCTTTCCACAATCAAATAGTGCTATTTCTTAAATGTGCAATGTTTCTATTCACAAAAAGAACTTATTTACCGCCATGGTTTTCAAATACCGTTATCTCTTACGTGTGCAATATTTCTATTCACAAAAAGGA